TGGAAGGCACTTCAGATATTTAAAACTTGGGTCAAGTGCTGTAACTATCTTTAGAAATCTCACATTGGTGCCTTCTTTGTGTTTTGTCAAATCTGCAGTGAAAGTGTTCTTAAAACGAACAACATGTGCTGGGTCATCATCCGAGACTGCTACGACATGAAATATATGGCAGAATGTGGGTAAAACAGAGAGACATATAATTTCCCCGCAAGTAGTTCAGTCACAAATTTAATTAACACATTACTTTTTTAACGAGCGTCATCAGCATGGAAGTATGTCCTCTGGAATGGCAGAATTATCTCCCATAAATGTAAACAAACCTGTTTATTTGAGTGATTCACTGAACAAGAAGTAGGACTGAGTGGACTTGTAGGCGCTACAGTTTTACCTTGTTTTGTTTTTGAGTGCAGTTATGTAACAATAAAAATCTACATTTGTAAGTTGCATTTTCACGATAAAAAGATTACACTACGGTACTTGTATGAGGTGTATTGAAAAATACTATTTCTTTTATCACTTTTACAGTGCAGATATTTGTAATAATAAATAATAATATAAAGTGAGCAGTGTACACTTTGTATTATCTTATAATTGAAATCAATATATTTGAAAATGTAGAAGAACATCCAAAAATATTTAATATATTTAAATTGGTATTCTGTCTTTTAACAGTGTGATTTAAAACTGCGATTAATTGTGATTTTTTTTAATCGTGATGAATTTTTTGCGTTAATTGCGTGAGTTAACGACGATAAATCGACAGCTCTAGTTGCAATTCTGCTGTTTACCAGCCAGCAGAAAAACTGACAATATTAAAATTCCAGCAGCTGCTTTGCTGCTACCACTCTGCAGCTGCAACTAATGCACCCACCCAATACTTGTATGCAGTGTAGTTGTAGCCATGTCAGTCCCAGGATATTAGAGAGACAAGGTGGGTAAGGTAGTATCTTTTATTGGAGCTCTGTGTAGCTCGAATGCTTATTTCTCTCAGTCTCAGAAGTCGATACAATAAAAGACAGTATCTGCCCACCTTGCCACCCACTGCTTCATGTATATCTTTATGATAGGTTTTAGCTTTGTTAGATAGGAAGTATTGTGAGGCGATAGCAGCAAAGTAACTTAATTTCACAGACCATCAGAGGAGTGGATTTCACATTTAAATCTATTAAATCAATGATTCCATTTATGCTACAGATCTGGTAAATTAAAAGGATGCCGTCATCTACTTTTTATACTAACTCTGTTGCCAGTGAATTATTTATATCCCTGACTAAAAAGCATGCCAAAGAAATATATTACCCTACTGATTTAGAGCCATAACATTCCTTCTTGTGGAAAAACCCATAGACAAGCTAGTTACTTGAAAAATTCAGCAATAATGTGAGGGTTTAGTGTCATAGATGTAAAGGTTATGGAGAACCAGGGGCTGTCCTCTGCAGGCTACTAAAGGAGCACAGAGTTCTGCCAGGAACCCTGCAGAGGCCTAAAAACTCTCACATCTGAGGAGGGAAGTGATGGTAAGGGGAGAACAGAACGAATGCCAGTGGACCACCTCAGACTAGTCAACAGCTCTCAGTCTCTCCTGTCCTTTATATAAATATTCACTGGAGTAGGGAAGGGTCTCTCCCCTCCCAGGTGAATGCCCTCAGCACCAGGTTAATCCCAGAATAGCCTAGAGCCTCTCTCAATCTCTCCTGTTGAAGTTGTTCTATGTTGTATAACTATATAAATATTCACTGGGTCAATGGGCGAGAGAATAAGAATGACTCTATAGCTTGGTGATTAGGACACTCACCTGGGAGGTAGAAGATGTGGAATCAAATCTCTCCTCTTAATCTGGCAGCCACATCTCCTGCCTTCCAAGTGAGTGCCTTAGGGTATATCTACATTGCAAAAAATCCCCACAGCATAGAGTCTCAGAGTTTGGGTCACCCGATTCAGGCTCATAATACAGGGCTAAAATGGCGGTGTAGACATTCCTGCTCAGGCTGGAGCTGGGCTTTAAAACCTAGTGAGGGTGGTGGGTTTCAGCACCCAGCCTTCAGCCTGAGCAGGAATGCCTACACCACCATTTTTAGCCCTATGGCACAAACCCCATGAGCCTGAGTCAATTGACCTGGACTCTGAGACTCGCTGCCATGGTTTCCCCCCCTCCCCCAGTTTACACGTATCCTTGATCACCAGGCTAAAGCGTCGTTCTTACTCCCTTTGGCCCAATGAATATTTAAGTACTGTATTATATAAAGTGGAACAGCTTCAACAGGAGAGATTGAGAGAGGCTAATCCTAGAACATCTTATATTCTGGTGGTTAGGATACACACTGGGGGTGGAGTGGGGGGAGATGGAGAACTGAATTTAAGTTCCTTCTCCTATGGGGGTTCAAAACTGAGTCTCTCACATCCCCAGCAAGTGCCCCAACCACTGGGCTAAAGGTTATAAGAGGAAACACTCACCCACCCACAGAAAAGGTGACCAGACTTTTCTAGTTCACTTCCAAAAATGTTCTGAATTTTTCAGCAAACTTCTTATTTGTTCTGATTTTTTGGTTTGCTGGATGAACTGAAAAAATCAATGATTCACCCCTTGCTCTAGTCAACATTAATGTATGCATTAAAATATAATGTTACCCCACTACAATGTCAAGAGACGGTACCATGCAGAAAAATTATTTCCTGACCATGATCTCCATAACTTGCATGGCCCAAACTATACAAAGTTCTCATATAAAGGCGTCTGGAGAGGAAAGGGAGATGACGCCATTGAGGAGCTGAGGGATGCAATGTCCAGTTCTGACAAGCTGCTGCGCTAAAAAGAGAGCATAGCCGCAGTAGCACAAGTGGCAGGAGGGCCTAGCTGGCCCGTGTACGTACCTAGCCTCTCTGACTTGGGGAGGCTAGCCCCTTGTGCCACTTGTGCTGCCACACCTACACTCTATTCTTAGTGCACCAGCTCGATGAGAGCTAGTGTGGGTATGTCTCCTTGAGCTGGGAATCACACCCCCAGCTTGAAGTCTAGACACACTCATAGGTACAACCCTCCTCCGTCCAGCAGCTTTTGGGACATTTGAGAGATATTCTGTTCATTTCACCCTCAACGGCTAGTTTTACAGGTGGCCGTTTGGCCCATAATTCTTGTGCATATGGTACATGTTAGCAGTTGTTTTTACCCGCATTTCTAATAAAGCCAAAGCCAACATAGTTCCTTTTTCTTTGCACACCAGCCTCACAGGCGTCAGCAACAATGCATTCAACTCTGTTTCTTAACTTACTTTTTTAAAGTCAAATGAAGCTAAAAATAATTAGATGATGATATAGCTTAGTGACTTTCTGATGGAGCTGCAGATATGATAGAAAAATTAGGATCCAGTGGATAATCCCTACATACTATCCCATTTAACAGTTTAGACAAAATTTGGGCCAAACATCTTGACATCATGTCTCAAACTAGGAAACTTCAGGATGTAGAAACTTTATTCAAAGCCATCTCCTTACCACCAAGACAGAGGAAGATGCAGAGACATGTAGTGAGGAAAAAAGTTGTCTAGATCTCTATTGCCTGTTTCAAAGCAATCATCTTTCATGTGCAAATTTTTTTATGCTTTGCATATTAGACACAGACAGATCATTAGAATGTCTCATTGTCACTGCCAATGACTCACCAAGTGCAATGGTAAGTGATTCCATTTATCAGACACATGATCTCAATCTCAAAACCCTGTATTTACAGTTGGATCTGAATTCTAGAGTTCAGCTCAGGCGCATTTCTTGGAACAAGGGGTGTTTTCCATATGACAGAACACTATTCATAAATTTATGCTTAATCCCTAAAACCTGGATATGTGTTTTACACAAGTAATATGAAATTTTAACCTCCCTTTTAACAAAGTTCAGTTGTCATAGTTATTTGATTCATTCATCTCCACTTGTTTTGGCCAGAAAAAGCCTTTCTGCAGAGCTAAATTCTCAGAAAAAAATATCTACACATTAGGATATTTCAGATAAAACAAAAAATCTTTTAATTTCATTCCACTACTGCAGCCAAACTGCTGGATGCACTTTAAAATGGTAAAGAAAACTATGAGACTGCATACTGGCTGACACACTGTTGATTTTAAACATATTTTAAAGCAAGTAGGATTATAATTGGAATTATGACCACAGCCCATTATGCTTGAAATATCAGGTGCCAAATTTAACTCACTCAAGAATTTACCACACGCTCCAATGGCACCAAATTACTCAGCAAGAAGGATGAAGTGATATAAATAATGCTTACTTCCAGTTTTTAAAATCTGCTAAGGCTGGCAGGCCACAATGCATTCACACTTCTTGGGTTTACAAACATAAACAAGAACATAAAAGTAATATTTACCAGTTTCACTTTATTGCTTGAATACAGTAATGCAGCAAGGGATTGGACAGCAAGAAGTGCTATTGTGCGTACACATATGTCTGTGACTTTGCAGAAAAACCTGAGCACTAAATTGCTGCTGTACATTCACAACAATTAAGGCAAGTGAAAGACTTAATCTATTCCTGAGAATACCGTTAGAAAAAATTATAGCAATGCTAATTAGAGTTGAGGTTTCACGGCTACTCTTTTAGGGCCTGATTCATAATCATGTAAATTAGGAATAACTCAATTTAAGTCAAAGGAATTACAGCGGGCATAATAAGTAAAGGAGAATCAGGTCCTCAATGATAAATGTGTACAAAATGGCAGACATATAAATGGAATAGAATGAGAAGGAAAACATTTTTCTCGGTAGTTATTGCTGAATGGTAAATTTAAGATGGGACATCAAAAAGTAGATGCTGTCAAGCTCTCTTATGAAATCAGCATTACTCTGAAAAGGAGTATTTTTCTCAATAACCAAGTCATTTTTTTCCCTTGTTCATGATAACTTTGTAAGTGCATCTTTTCCATTGAAAGATTGTATATAAATACTTGAGACTTACCGGTTACCTGTTTTCTTAACTTTTCAATTTCTTCTTTTAAGCTTTTAATTTCTAGATCTTTGCTTGCTGTTATTGGACCATCCACAGTTGAATACTGTAAAGCCTGGACTGTCTGGGTGGATTCTAAAAACAAAGAAGAGTACCATGAGATAAGCCTTCCACACTCCCCCAATATATTCTTTAAGATGTCAGAAGAAAGTGACACTATTGATAAGTGGAGAAGTGCACAAAATTGTCTCTATACCAATGGTAGGAGACTGGAAAAAACCAGGAGGAATTGAAAATTCAACTGACGAGAAGAAATTTGATACACTTGACCTTACTGATTCCAGCTGCTTTAATTGGAATGTTAAAAGCATTGATTATAACCTGTTCAGGAAAGATAGCACAGGTGTGGGGGGGGGGGAGTGACACTGTACACTAAGGGCACAATTACAAGTAATTGGTAACTCAGAAGCACATGATCTTTAATGCATATGGATCAAGGTGTTAACCAGCTGACCATCAAATCAAAGTAGAGCTCAGGATGAGTTACTCTGTAAACACCTGTCTGTAATGTGTGTATGGGGGGAAATTGTGTTGTTACAAGGCACTTCAATTTGTTAAATGCATGCTAGAGGTCTAATGCAGCCAGTAGTAAAACATCATTAGAGTTTCTAAAAATTATAGATGATAATTTTCTGACACAAAAAATATTACATCCAACATGAGGGAAGGACATCATTATGATGGATAAAGATGAATTAATCACTGGACCAAAAGTTGGTGGTTGCCTAGGGACCAGTGATTATGAACTGATTACATTCAATGTGGGCAAAAAGAAGACAGTTCCAACCAGTAATATATACACTTGGTGCTTCAAAAGGGGTAATTCCCCAAAGCTCAAGAAAATTATGAGTGAAACTGATTGAGAGGAAAAGCTTAGACAAAAAATGTGAATGAAAATTGGGAGATTTTTGAAGCAGAGTTTATTAGATGGCTAAAAGCCATGATTCCACAATCAAACATCTTCAACTAAAAGCCCATCCTGGTTGGTGGGTGAGGGAAGACAGAAATTATAAATAAAAAAACCAATGTCTACTAAATTGAAAAAGGGGAAATAGATAACAATTGATATAAATTAGAAGTTATGATGTTCAGAAATTGACAAGGAAAGTTAACAACATCAGGGAAAAATCCATAAATAGCAGGGCTAAGGACAAAAAGGTTTTTAAAAGTATACTAGGGAACAAAACAGATGGCAAAATGTTAATCATGAAGAAAAGGCAGAAGTGTTCAATTAATATTTTTGTTCTGTATTGGAAAGAAACAGGATGGTGTGGTTGTATCACATGGGGATGATGAAGTACTATCCAGTCCATTAATAACAGAAGTTACACAGTATCTAATACAGTGCAACAGAGTGAACTGTCACATGGTGGGAGGAAAGGAAAACAAAATAAAATACCCAAGCAGCTGACTCCAATTAGTAGTCCTCTCAAAGACTGCTGGGAGTGGAAGGGGTATGGGTCTATATAAGTGAGAACCAGCTCATTCTAAGGAGGAGAGAGAAGGATGAGGCAGTGCTCTGGAAGACTGGAGCTGTATCTAGGAGTGTCTAAGGAAAAAAATCAGGGGCAGGAGATGGAACAAACACCTACTGAGCAAAAGCTACCGGGTTTATGGAGAGTTGGGCACAGGCTAGGGCCTGCCTCCACAGAAAACTATTGGCTTACCGTGCAGGTAAAAAACCTGTGGAGAAATGGAACCAAGTATTTTGGGTGCAGGTGATGATGATGATAATTAGACACCCTTTTGTATCTATCACTGCATACTATCTAGCTCTTTCTTTGGAGGGCAGTGGGAGGTGAGGAGCGTCCTGTGTTTTGTGGTGGTCAGGTCATCCTGGCTCAGAAAACCTGGATAAACTTGCATTCAAGAATCCTAAAAAGAGTTGTCTGAGGAGATCTCTGGCCCTCTGATGTTAATTATGAATAACGCTTAGAGAATCATGAAAATTCCAGAAGACTAGAAGAGTGCTAATGTTGTGCCATTATTCAAAAAGGGCGAGCAGGATGACTTGGGAAACTAGAGGTCCATTAACCTGACATAAATCTGGGCCAAAATAATGGAAAAGCTGATTTGGAAATCAA